AGGCAGCGCGAAAAAAAAAAAAAAAAAGGAAGAAGAAGAAGAAGAAGAAGAAGAAGAAGAAGATAGGCAGCGCAACTGCAGTCTCTTTCACGCCAGTTCCATCGCTCAAGTGCTACAGTCCTTTGCTTCGGAGCGCGAGTGCGCTGCCATCTTGCATGGCCTCCGCACTATCTGAGATCAGCCGAGCTTATGTGCTGTTCTTCACACGATCTCAATCCAGATACTATTCTTGCGTATCTTTTGATTTTTTGTTCGAGATACTATATTGCTTTTGTAACTACGTGTTGCGTCTAAGTGAGTGGATGCATGCTTCGCCTGTTCCGCTCTCCTTCGCTTTCGTTACACTCAGTCTCTATCAACCGAAAAAAAAAAAAAAAAAAAAAAACCTCGAAGCCGATCCAACCGTACGAAGGAGCTAAGATTAACTCCCTGAGGAAACAAGATTCTTTTTTTTTTTTTTTTTTTTTCCTTCGAAAACGACGTATTAACTCATTGCAAAAGACTTTGAAATTTTCAGTCCATCCGACAGAGGATCATATTCACACACAATAAAGTGAACGGAATTTTTAATAATTACGGCAATCTTAATTCCATCCAATGGAGGATCGCACTGACAATAAACTTGAATAAAGTGGACGTAATTTTAAATAATTACGAGCAATTTCGGTCGGTAAAGACGCAGCGCGAGCATGCGCTAAGCCTCGCCTCCACGACAACGCTCACTCAACGATCGCGATCGATCGGTCGTGAACCCAGACTGAAGCAAACAACAACACTACCGTTTCACCCGAATAGAACGCCCGGTCATTATCGCTTGTATGTAGACTGAAAGTTGCACCAAATACGGCTATAATGACCGGGCGTTCTATTCGCGTGAAGACGGTAGGTTCACCACTATCGCATTCGCATATTAGACAAAAACAGAATAGGTGTTGCACGCCCAAAAACAGGCAGCTCTGTGAGCCTCTCTCTGTGTGTGGTTGATATGTGTGTGCGCGCGCGCGCGCGCGTGTGTGTGTGTGTGTGTGTGTGAGAGAGAGAGAGAGAGGTGT